TATTGCATTCACTCCCATTACATTTATTCATTTAGCTGACGCTTTTATCCAACGCGACTTACAATTGCTATACATGTCAGAGGTCGCACGCCTCTGGAGCAACTAGGGGTTAAGTGCCTTGTTCAGGGACACACTGGTGTCTCACAGTGGATTCGAACCAGCGTCTCTCACACCAAAGGCATGTGTCTTATCCACTACGCCATCACCACCCCATTATAAAGCTTGGAAGAGGATTTTTTTTTAATATAGAACTACAATTGAGTTTGGCTGAAGGAAGAAAGCCATTCACCTTAAAGCAGAGTACATCATGGGATAATTTTATTTTTTTGGGTGAACTAACCCTTTAAGTAGCCTATGGGATGATTCCATATTACACAGTCTACTTCAATAAGGCAGTTCGGGTTGTCTACCTGCAGTGCATGATGCGTCTTCCAGATTAATAACAATAAATACAACGAATTACTTATTGGTCAGTAAAACAGATTTGAATCACGCACGTCTCACATCAATGCTCCTTTTGATTTGTTGTGTTGACCACGTGCCCAAAGACCTACAGAATCAAAGTTCAGTTCAGTAGCCTATCAAAAGTTTAGCAATGAACTTGATCAGACGGAACTTATTCAGGCAACATGAAAAGCAAAACATGCAACATGGCGATGAAGCTTTGTCGTGATGCCAAGCTACAACCTACTCGCAGCATTTCCTTACTTGTCAGGAGTGACCAAAAAATCCCCCATAAACACAGCATTTGATGCGCACGTAATATCTATTGCATTCAAAAATGGAAGACATGTCTTGTATTTCCCAGGCCTAAAGATTGGACGGAGTGAGGTCTTCTGATTAAATGCTACTCAGCACAATGACAGCTGATTTAGTGATGCAATTACCAAAATAACAGCAAACACCCATTAAGCGAATAATCGGCGGAATGAAAGGAAGAATAAGCAGTGATGAAGCGCTCGTCTCCAAGGGCTGACCTACCTCGATTTACATCGTTGAAACTTTAATCGCGTCTCCCTGGCCCTCGTGGTTAAGATAACGTGTCCCTTGCCAATATTCAGAAGAGGCTTGATGCGTGAAGACAGTTTCGCAGTGGTCAAGCATCCGTTCTGCTGCTTCTTTCGCGAGTAAAGCGGACGACGGGCAAAGGCGAGCCGTGAAACGAGCATCATCGCTCAGCGAGGTGATATTAGGAGTCCAACCATCCAGAGAAAGGCATCGTATTCGCGACAGGGGGAGCGCATTGTGTGTGTTTTGTGTTGTGCTGAGTGTCGGTCGGGCTCCCCTCTTCAATTCACGCCAGGGACTCAGTCTTCTCCATCACGCTGAAGCCGCGAGTCGATTTGACGCGATTCGATTGAAGCGTGAACGGCAGCATCTCTCCGTTATGTCGGAGGAGGAGGAGGATGAGGAGGAGGAGATTCATTACGCAGAGAAAACGCTATTCTATTGGTTTTCTGTCCGAGGGATGGCAAATGTTCTTCGGGATAACCTCGCATCCATCAAAACACCTCACTGGCCGCTGAGGTGCGGGTATCTCGCGTGCATTTCCATGCCAACGTCAAACACACATCAGTCATGTAGAATAACGCCAACAGCTGTCATGAGTCATGACTGAGCATATGGAAATGGCAGGGGTGACATTGAGATGTGAGAAATGCGTTTCGAAGAGAGATGACTATTGAAAGGGGATGTGCGCGTGAGACAGTGAGAGAGATGAAGACCACCAAGAAAGACATAAAAAGGTCTATTGACTGCCTTTGTACAAAACTGCTTCAGAATTCAGATAACACTACTGCAATACTATCTTATTATACTAATGCCATCATATCATACTATATATATCAGTCGTGAAAATAAAGGTTCTTTATGGTTCAAAGAAGAATCCATGGAAGATTCTTTCGAGTGGAAAATGGTTATTTAGATTTTTAAATGTTTTTCACACAAGAGAAAAAAAACAAGTTTCCGTCCCACTTTATATTAAGTGTCTTTAAGTATGTAGGCTATTGAAATTAATAATTTGATACAACAGACTTATTGTGTGCACATGTTTTTACATTGTAGCTATACACTCACCGGCCACTTTATTAGGTACCCCATGCTAGTAACGGGTTGGACCCCCTTTTGCCTTCAGAACTGCCTCAATTCTTCGTGGCATAGATTCAACAAGGTGCTGGAAGCATTCCTCAGGGAGTTTGGTCCATATTGACATGATGGCATCACACAGTTGCCGCAGATTTGTCGGCTGCACATCCATGATGCGAATCTCCCGTTCCACCACATCCCAAAGATGCTCTATTGGATTGAGATCTGGTGACTGTGGAGGCCATTTGAGTACAGCGAACTCATTGTCATGTTCAAGAAACCAGTCTGAGATGATTCCAGCTTTATGACATGGCGCATTATCCTGCTGAAAGTAGCCATCAGAAGTTGGGTACATTGTGGTCATAAAGGGATGGACATGGTCAGCAACAATACTCAGGTAGGCTGTGGCGTTGCAACGATGCTCAATTGGTACCAAGGGGCCCAAAGAGTGCCAAGAAAATATTCCCCACACCATGACACCACCACCACCAGCCTGAACCGTTGATACAAGGCAGGATGGATCCATGCTTTCATGTTGTAGACGCCAAATTCTGACCCTACCATCCGAATGTCGCAGCAGAAATCGAGACTCATCAGACCAGGCAACGTTTTTCCAATCTTCTATTGTCCAATTTCGATGAGCTTGTGCAAATTGTAGCCTCAGTTTCCTGTTCTTAGCTGAAAGGAGTGGCACCCGGTGTGGTCTTCTGCTGCTGTAGCCCATCTGCCTCAAAGTTCGACGTACTGTGCGTTCAGAGATGCTCTTCTGCCCACCTTGGTTGTAACGGGTGGTTATTTGAGTCACTGTTGCCCTTCTATCAGCTCGAACCAGTCTGGCCATTCTCCTCTGACCTCTGGCATCAACAAGGCATTTCCGCCCACAGAACTGCCGCTCACTGGATGTTTTTTCTTTTTCGGACCATTCTCTGTAAACCCTAGAGATGGTTGTGCGTGAAAATCCCAGTGGATTAGCAGTTTCTGAAATACTCAGACCAGCCCTTCTGGCACCAACAATCATGCCACGTTCAAAGTCACTCAAATCACCTTTCTTCCCCATACTGATGCTCGGTTTGAACTGCAGGAGACCATGTCTACATGCCTAAATGCACTGAGTTGCCGCCATGTGATTGGCTGCTTAGAAATTAAGTGTTAACGAGCAGTTGGACAGGTGTACCTAATAAAGTGGCCGGTGAGTGTATATTTTGAAAATACCTGCATACAGCTGTAATTTATGTAATTGCATTATTTACACTGTTGACCCTTCCCACACCTTAACCCCGACCTATACCACCTCACGTCCCTGACCTTACCCGTATCACACCTCAATAGCAGCAAAAGTGTTTTACAAAACATGAAGTACATATAAAGCTTCACATCACAAGCCACTTACTTATACCACTATTCTGTCATATTCATAATATGCGTAACGCTGAAAATAACCTAATAATTTACTTATATTCAAGTAATATGCGTCTCTTATGATCACCAAGCAGAACATATTTTGATCAAAATACAGTACCATTGTGAAATATTACAAATAAAATGACTATTTATTATATAAATTAAACATTCTGATAGTAAGACTGGCTTTTCAGCATCATTAGCAGTCTTCAGTGTCACATGATCCTAATGATGTTAGCTGCTCAAGAAACATTTTTAATAATTATCGATGTTGTTTGTGTAAACCAATATACATTTTCCATGATTCTTGGATCTACAGAAAGTTGAAAAGAACAGTATTTATTTGAAATATAAATTTCTAATATTATAAATGCCTTTACTGTCACTTCTGATCAATGTAACTTACTGTCACTTCAATAAAAATATGAATTTCTTGGATACAAATCATACTGGGCCTATGACATCATAGCCTACACTCTTAGAAGAAAAGGTTCTATATAGAACCTTAAAAGGTTCTATCAGCGCTACATATTTGGAACCCCTACAAGGTTCTATACACTCTTAAAAAAAGGGTTCCTCTGGGTTCTATATAGAACATCTATATAGAGTATCTATATAGAGTTCTATATTCCACACTTGGCCAATAGAACCTTTTACCAAAAAATGGTTCTATAGAACCAATATATATGAAGCACAGGATGGAAGTGTATCTCTTTCAATGTTAAGTTGCGGTTTCTATATGGCAAACTTCGTTAGTTATATTTTTTAATTCATTTCATTGCACTGCAAAAAAAAAAAGAAAGAAAATGTATTTTTGTCATTACTTTAAATTTGGCCTTGTTGCACCTCAGAACTATGCCGTTCTAACGGTTTTTGCTGACACAACATGACGTCTCCTTTTGTCCCTCGTGTGCTCTTTAAACGAAGAATGTAAACAATCCGATTAAAGTCTGCAAAGTTCCCACGATTCCACGCATACCTGCAGCGCACAAAACTTCCCCATTAGCATACCTGGCATACCAGAGTCTGACACCAAACCCATCCGGTCTACACACACACAGAGAGAGAGAGAGAGCGAAGCAGTCTCACTGAGAGTACCGGACCACACCTTCTCTTAATGCACTAAAAATAACAGTAACACCCCACACAGTTTCTATAAATACATATCTGAATAAAACCTAAAGCTTTACAATCCATAATCACTGCATGACCCAAAGATGTTTAAACAAAATGGAATAAATGTGGCAATGCACTCAGAGCGGCTTCTACTTTACAGAACGTTTTAGGCCTGGTTTCACAAACAGGGTTTAGATTAAGCCAGGATTAGGCCTTAGTTCAATTATAAACGTGCCTTTAATGTCTTTTGTCTTAGAAGTTTGTGATGCAACAGCAGGTAATTCCCTATAAATAAACTCTCATCATTACGTTCCACCGACGCACAAGAAGAATCGTTCCATTCACAAATGTGGACAAACAGCAATCACAACATTTCTGCGCTCAAAAGGATCCGCCCTCTGTTCTCATGTGACTGAGTCGCACGCTGACGTTTAATGCAGAACTTATTTGAGGAGGACGAGGTGACTCACCTGCACTGCATTTCACCTGGAAGGTAAGTCTCCTAACATTTCCCTGCGTGTCAATAGGATTTGCTAGTTTTATAAAACTGAAGCCTTGTAAAATTGCATGTCGTAAAGCGTAAAACTTGTCAGCAGGCGAATTCTGGCTATATCTGCTCAGATAAAACCTGAGACACTTAATGGAGCTTCCCTGTAATGGTTCATTTAAATATCAACTTTGTCTGAGAAGTTTATCCTCAAATTTCTTGAGAGAAACCAATATGAGACACAGAGCTATTTCAACAATGTGAATTTGATTAGAAATAGTTCAAATTGAAATATTTGACGTTGGATTCTAGTCTGGTCTCTGATGGTAAATCAGAGCACAGTTCGAGATCCTGCCATGGGCAAGCTGCATAAACTCAGTCATTAAGACTCGGGTCTTAAGAAAAAGTTTGGCCAACTAGCAGTTTCACAATAGATAATAATCAGTCTTACTTTTCTGATCCAAATTAGACCAATCAACTTTCTTATGTAACTTGGTTTAAAAAAAAAGAGGTAAGGAGTGTCTTGATGAAAAAAATAGATGCCTAATTTTTAAGGCTAGCCTAAGCAGTTTATGCAACTCTTCTAAAACTTTAGACGACAAGTGATATTACTACACTGTAAACAAATTTGTTGGTTTAACTTAAAAAAGTAAGTAACCTGGTTGGCTGCCTTAAAATTTTAAGTTGATTGAACTGGAAAAAGTGAGTTAATACAATGGAAATTAATTTAATCATCAGAAACTCAAAATAATAAGTTATCTCAACTAAATAAATTATTTAAGTTGACTTGACAAAAGTAAAAATGTGATAACAAATCTTGAAAATATTTTTTTTTACAATGTAGGAGCTCTTGCTCAAGAAAAATGAAGCAGGAGACTTGATTTGTTCTCTATCTAAACAAATCTTTGCTGTCAAACAATTGAGCTATTCAAGAAATCACTTATTTATAAATATAAAATGTCTTTTTAATTATGAATAAGATATATTACCAATGGGGTATATGTCGAATGTTGCATGACCAAACCGGAACACTGGTCTCATGATCGCATCGCTTGTCACAGAAAGTGTGAACTGCAGTGTGAACTGACACAGATATCCAGTGACTTAAGGCAATCAGCAACCTACCCAGTTCACTTATTGGCGTTTTTATGATTTAAATAATAAACATTAGTGTGAAAAAGAGAAAAATTAAAATACTTTTATTTTTTAAATCAAAATAATATATATATATATATATATATATATATATACACACACATATAGTATATAAAGAAACTTATGTTAGATGCAATTAATTGCGATTATTAATTTAACAGCACTAATATATGTAGGTATATTATTAAAACTGGAATATTAAAAAGTATTTTATTATATTAACCATTCAATTCAGTGGTCAAATCGATTAATCACATCTAGCATAAAAGTTTGTTTATATAATATATGTGTAATATGTATAAATATAATACTATAACATTTTAAATAAAAATTATAATATTATTTAATATTCCAGTTTTAATAATAATAAATATTATTTAATCAATATCATCCAGATAAACTTTGACGAATGAATAATTACGAACATCATCTCTTACAGAGAGCATTTACATTCTGTAGGAACGTTGACATCTTTAACAAACAACCAATATAATTAATATTGGTTGACTGTAACAAATGTAATGTAATCTGACCCTAACTTCCTTTGTTCTCAGGGGATTATAAGAGACTGCTGTTAAAGTTCCCATACAAGAAGATCTATTTAGCATTTCCCATGATGGCAGGTAATAATAGCACACATAAATTAATGTAAACATTATAGATATAAAAAATATTATTCAAAGATTTCCATGATGTGGAATTCTTGAAATGCAAAAAAAAAAAAAAAAAAAAAAAACCTGCTCAGTGGGGGAAAGCTTGATAAATGATGTATCTATTTTGTTTTCTTTGTATTTCCTATTACAGAACATGGTGACCCTTGCACTGGGTCTGAAGCCAACTTTTGCATGAACGGAGGAACATGCTTTAAAATACCTTCTGTGTCAACCCCCACCTGTGTGTAAGTGTCCTAACGAACAGAAAATATATTGTTTTATCTGATGACTTATCGTCTGGCTAAACCCTTTCCCTGTCGTGTAGCTGCAGTGCGAACTATGAGGGCAGCAGATGTGAGCAGTATCAGCTGTTCAGTTTCTCACACAGCAGTGAAGAGAAGGGCATGGTCGCGGCTGTGGTCATCATGGTCCTGCTCATTTTAGCGGTGCTTGGGGTGGTCATCTATTACATCTACAAGTGAGTCACGTGCGCATTTCACGCTGGTTTCGGATTCAGTAACGTTACAAATTTGATCAACATGATAAGAAGACACATATGATAAACCACCGAAAACTGTTTCTCATCCCTCGACTGATTAGTTTCGGATTCAGTAACGTTACAAATTTGATCAACATGATTAGGAAGACACATATGATAAACCACCGAAAACAGTTTCTCATCCCTCGGCTGATTATCTAGCTAATGTATTTACAATGGAAGTAACATTATGCAATATCACGAGCACGCCGAAGGAAATTACTGGAGGGCTCATATTCGGAAAAAAGTGCGATATTTCTCGTTTTTAAAAAGCAATTTTAGTAAACAAGAAGTCAATATTGAATATCTTACATTTCTGACACAACATTTCCAGTTGCTTCGACTGTTTTTGCGTCGCCAACTAAAGTTGTTCCAAACGAAGCCACTGCAGAACCGTTTGTTTTGTTGGTTGAATGAATCGGTTGAGTGAACCATTCAGCACACGTGACAGTTACAATGGAAGTGAATGTGCCGATTTGTGCTTTAAAATACTCACGGTTTCAACGTAGCCTAAACAATTTAACATTTTTTCTTTTTTTGTGGTAGGGTAATCAACTTTGTTTTACATGCTGTCGAATCTGACGACTTGGGGAAAAAATAGGCTAGATATTGCTACCTTTTTCTCCGAATTGCAGATTTATTGAGAGTTTTAAACTCACAATTCTGAGAGGGAAAATATCAGATTTTATTTCATGGTGGAAACAAGTTTCCATATTATAGGCAAGAGCTATTTTAACCCCTTAAACCCTGCAAGAAGTATAACAGTTGTCTTTCCATTTATTCACAGAATTAGGAAAAATACCCAGAGCCAACCAAAACACGAGGAATACAAGAGAGGCAAATCAAGTGCGAACTCTGAACCAGTGTGAATCGACTTTTGATGCATGTGATGTGAACTCGACATTGGCCTTGATGTTGCAAACCTTGTAACATCACTCCCTTGTGGAAGTCTTGAATTCAATGTGAAAATGTGTCAAATTGCACACAAAATACTTTTCTTATGTTTTTACATTTTGTAAATAGTCATTTAACATATTTAAACATGTAACAAAAGGAATGCAAATTCTTGAAACAAATTGTTACCATGTCAGCTGTTCAATGGAAAGCAATACATTTCAAAAGCAGCATCCATTAGTGCAGATTTGTCATTTTAATTAGACATAGATGACTTGATATTATTTAATATACTAGTCACATGTGTCATGTACATATACTATTTTTTACAATGTGCTGTTTTTGTTTTGAATAACATATTGTTTCTTATCATTTTGTCACTTAAAGGGATAGTTCTCCCAAAAATGTAAATTCTGTCATCATTTACTTACTCTCAAGTTGTTCCAAACCATGTATGAATGTCTTTCTTCCGTTAAACAATAATATATTTTGAAGAATGTCAGTAACCAGTTGTTGGGCCCCATGGACATTCATATAGGGGAAACAATGGAAGTCAAAGGGGCCCCGTCAACTGTTTGGTTACCCATATTCGTCAAAATATATTATTTTGTGTTCAGCAGAAGACAGAACTTAATACAGGTTTGGAACAACTTGAGGGTAAGTAAATGATGTCAGAATTGACATTTTTGGGAGAACTATCTCTTTAAATTCTACTGGATTACTGTAATTCCTGCATACTGTTGAAATGTATTAACTGTAAACATGAGTAACAACAGGAAAATGTTTCCAAAGACTTTTGGGGGGGAAAAAAATGTCATAGCCTATGCTACTCATATATTTTTCTACAGAAATGTACTGTGTACAGTATGCAAGTTTTCTGTATTGAAGTTCTACTGTATGTGTAAAAATGTGCAGTGTACAACAACACAGTACAATGGGACATGTATCCCATAATGCAATGTGATTCCAGTGAGATGTACTGATGAATAAACCAGATGGATGAAAATTAACTGGAATATTTACCACCATTTTCTTCCCACTAATTAATCTGACTGTAACACACTTTTAGATAAACTTCAATTAAAACTAATAGTACATTTGAAAAACGCTGTTTTATTTTACCCTGAGTGAGCTGAGTTGTCTGGTCGTGTCAGAAAAATTAGATTAGATGACTGAGTTTCCCTTTTTGCCTATTTTCTGTGCTTCATCAATAAATAAAATCACCAACATGATAGCTTCAATAATGAAATGATTCAGGTAATAGGAGAGTTAAACATCACCCAGTCCTCTGGAAATTCAACTTTCAATAACATGTTAGTCTTTTTCCTTCATTAACAGTATTTGGGCACATTTGAGAGGTCCACACACACACCATTTGCTGGCTGTCTTCAAATCCCCTCTGTTAACATAACAAGTTAGGCACATGAGAAAAAGAGAGTTGCAACTGACCTATAAACCAAAAACAATAATGGTAGTACAACTGCATTAATGTAAAAAAAGGAAACATAGGAGGAGTTTTGAGGTTGAAATTTTAAAAAGTAACAAATCTTTCACTCGCGGATCAATTTTACCCCCATAGGAATTAATGGAATGCAAGGAATGCTTTAGTAGCTACACATAGAAAATTCAAACTAAAAATGCTAAAACATTACCAAAAAATGATTTTATAAAGTCAATGGTCTACACGCGTATATGAATGCAAACTGAAGAAAAATTTACTTTAGGACCCATCGGAAGAGCTCATTTGCCAACCCGGTATCACGACAAGACGTGAAATAATCACGTTGGTCCAGTGGTCCACTTTGGGAAAACGTGTAGATGTCACGGTTTAACCCCCTCAAACGTGAAACTTTGCGTTAACACGTTCCAGTGGAGAGATACCCGGATGATGACATATTCTACACGCAATCGCCTCTGCCACAACGACCTATTGGTTTTCATTAAACCGAGAAAAATGCAATTTTGTTATATTGACGATCACTGAGAAATGTTCTATTATTTAAAATGCATTTTTTTTATTTTCAAGGTGAAAAGGATTCATTTGCCTTGTTCCACGCCGAAAAAAACGTCTAAATGTCACGTTTTTTTAATGAATTAGCCTAATGAGTAAAATGTCTATTTTTCCGGCGTCCCCCAGCTCCTCGTTTTGCATTTGCTCCATATAGAGCTATGAGGCCATCTAGTGGCAAGCGTCCTGAAACATTATTATGTTATATAGCCTATATATTTTCCACAAGAGGTCTACAAAGACACCCAATTTTAAGATATTTTGCGCAATATTATTTTAAGCTATATTAAAAGGGTTGTGTATGAAATTGTGAGTTATTAAGTTGAATGAATGTGAGGAATGTGCTTAAATTACTAGCTGGCTGTCTTCAAATCCCCTCTGTTAAAATAACAAGTTAGGCACATGAGAACAAGAGAGTTGCAACTGACCTATAAACCAAAAACAATAGTACAACTGCATTAATGTAAAAAAACAAACAAAAAAACAAAAACAAAAAAACGAAACATAGGAGTTTTGAGGTTGAAATTTTAATTCTAATTTTAACTGCTATCCCAATAGTTTTCGTTAACAGTCCTACAATTTGGTATAGCCACCACAGTCATTTTAGAAATATACAAAAAAACACAATGTGAAAATAAAGTGGCGTTTTGGCAATATGTGCAAATACTCCTGATGAACAGATCTGAACATCATCTGCATGCAAATCCTTTCCAGTTTACACACGACATAGCCAACCAGTTATGTAGCCTAATTTATTGGTAATTTGGATTTTTGGTAATTTCATGATTTACTAATTGACAATATAGTAAGACTTTGCATGCTCGTAATTTTATTTGAGGGTGCAGTAGCAAATACTCGCTTTTCTGAGACGAGGCTAATTTTTATCAAGCTACCAAAATAACGTTAGAATAATGACATAGCCTGACTCTATTCAGAGACATTCTATGACAAAAAAAAAAAACAAAAAAACACATAACATTCTATGACGCAGCGCGTGTCGCTGTCTCTATGGCAGCGAAGAATGCAAGTGACCTCACGTGCAACAAGTGTGCAGCCACAACAACCAATCACATCGCGAAGAAATCGTCTTTGCGTCATACGATTCTAAATTCCTCGTCATGATGTCACAAGGAAAACTTCTGTAAAAAAAAAAAAAAAACAGTTGAAACAGGTGAAATCTAGGTTTGGCCATCGGGGCCTCGTGGTTGTTGTTTTTTAAATTATTATTATTATTATTATTTTATAATAACAACAAAAATTTAAACTACTACAAAAATAAAAACAACAAAAGTAATAAAGACAACACAATTTAGATAACATCAATAAAAATAATGTCAAAACTAAAAAATAACAAAAATAAAAACAACACCAATAATAAAAGTAATAATAGCAAAAACAATAACAACAACAAACATCAACTATTAGAAGTATTTTGTACTGAAAGTTGCTGGTAACATCAGTAGCTGGTGACTTTAATACTGTAAATGAAACTGCTGTGGGCTACCAGATTAAGATTTTTTTTTTTTTGACAAATTAAGATTTTTTATATATGAAGAATTAATATTCACTGTTTATAACTATAGATTCTATGTAAACAATATCTTATATAGGCAAATAAACTAATAGTGGGTTTTAAAAGAAGCTGAATTGATTATATTTATTGATTATATTTAAACATATATGAGTAATCCATCGCTTGTTTTTATGCACACATTAACTTATTAAAGTAACTTTTCATTTGACTGCTTGTTTTCTGACAACTGGTAAATTGGTTAAAAAAAAAAGAGAGACAATATTGTAAGTCAAAAATGAATTAAGTTAGTTTTAATACTCTGGTTTAGTTTTAATTAAACAAATATTCCATCAAGACTTAATACAAGGTCATGAAATCTGCACTGCTTGTCATCCCAACTACAGTTTAATAATTGTGATAAATCACCAGATTGTGAGCATGACATGTGGAAGGAAAATAAAAAGAGGCCATAATATTTTTTATAAATTAAAGTTTCCATAATACTTTTTTATTCAATCACAAATGTATAAAAGCGATCAAAATGAGCGCTCTGCACAACTGTTCACTTAAAATCGATGCATGGACACACCTCAGCATTGTAAACAAAGAAGCATCCTGATGTTCACCACAAACCTCTCAAAACGGCTACAAAAGGACCAGTGCCGTGAGTGAGTGTGTATCAAGCAGAGGCCATGTCTCCGTCCCTGGCCTTGTCAAATGTTTGTGCAATCTTGAGCGCGGTGGTATTGAGCCCCACTGACTGCATGTTAGTGATGATGGTCACCACCACCCCCTGTGGAGGAGGCAGCGTCTGATTGGTGCGCTGCTCTCTGGGCAACACCAGCAGGACGCTACTCGCCCCCACAGCGCCCCCTGTGTGCGAGACGTAATGCCTGCGGCTGCGGCACTGCCCGTATTTCTGCTGTTTCTCCACGACCAGCCAGCCCTGGGCGTACAGTCCGTCTTTGTCCCACGATGCCTCTGTTTTGTCCACCGGTGCCCATATGGCTTTGGCTGTGTGGGGTCTGAAGAAGCCAGGAAGCAGCCCGTCTGTGTTCTTCGCTTCGGCCATCTGATAGCTGTAGAGCAGAGCGTTACCGAAGACCAGAAGGTCACTCACAGTGGACAGAAATCCACCTCCAGCCCATTTGTACGAATTGTCCACATAGGGGCAGTTGACAACACGGCGCTTTTTGTTGAAGTGGTAGAATCTGCAGAAAACAGGGAAGATGCAGGTAGGTGACTGATAAGAGGAAAAATCTGGTTATAAATCTGTTTTGAAATCCTTGGTGCTATCACATGAAATCAAAATGTTGGCTTTAATAATATGGAGTAATAATAATTACTCTAAACATCTCATGTGGTGTAACGTTCAATTAAAAATAACAACATTTTCCTTACACCTTGAATGCGTTTTTTCAAAAAAGATTTTAAAAGATATTTAAATATAAAGATAAAATAAAGGTAAAACGTCATTTTTAATTACAATTATAATAGATAATTTATAAATATAAGTACATTTTTGGAAATAATTTGTATCAATTTTTTCTATTTTTTTTTTTTATTAAAAAAAAAAACGCACAGCAAAATCAAATTCTGTCTTTGGCTCATTGCAGATTTAAGGAGAACATCCTCAGCATTGGTCTGTGTTGAAATGACTTATGAATTTGCACATTTGGGGGGGTTGACTGCTTTTTTTTTCTTTGCATGATTGTGTTTATGGGGTGCAATATAACATGTATTTGCGGTTTTTCTTTAAGTAATTACTGTACGAGATTCCGACTCGTAAAAAAGCGCCCATGTCCTCGTAGAACCTTTAATAACAACTCTGAATTTTCTGAGAGCTTGTACCCGACAGCTGCAGATTCACATGTGTTTGAATCGTAATATCTCTTTTACCTCGAGCGGTTGTATATGATTGGGTCGTTTTCGTCTGGTACGGTGTTAAGCATGCCCAGCTCACGAAACATCTGCATCATGTGGTCGAGGAAGCGCTGCCCTGCTGCTCTCTCCACCACGGCGCTCAGCAGAGTGAACGCGTGCGTGGAATACAGGAATGTAGAACCTACAGCGGTCGTGTAAGATAGAACAAGGTCAAAATACAACAACTGAAGT